CGGTCCACAGCCAGGTGATGCTTGTCACAACTGTAAGGAAGTGGGGCATTGGAAGTACAACTGTCCCAAGAGAAGAGGGCAACAGAAGAAACAAGGTTCAGTTGCCGTGGCAGAAGTGGACAATAGTTCTGAAGACGATCTCGCCTTGGCTGTAGATAAGAAGGCACATCGTGGTGATGTGTGGTTTCTGGATACTGCAGCCTCATACCATATGTCTCCGAACAGGGATTGCTTCACAACCTACGAGCAGATAGATGGTGGTAACGTGGTCATGGCTAATGGAGATGTCTGCAAGGTTGTTGGAATCGGGTCCATAAAGGTTCGGACACATGATGGTTCGTTCTGTACCGTGAATGATGTCAGGCATGTTCCACGAATGACAAAGAACCTGATCTCCTTGAGTCTACTCGACAGCAAGGGTTTCAGCTTCAAAGGAAAAGGTGGAGTTGTGTATGTCTGCAAGGGTTCGAGGAAGGTACTGAAGGGCGTGAAGCGTGGGACCTTGTATGCATTACAAGGGTCTGTGTTGTCTGGTTCTGCTGCAGTTGCATCGTCTCAGGTTCAACAGGAAGATATGACCACTCTCTGGCACATGAGACTGGGGCATATGAGTGAACGGGGGATGCAAGTTCTATCGAAGAGGGATCTTCTTTGCGGGCGCAAGGTGCAGAATTTGGAATTCTGTGAGCATTGTGTGTTTGGGAAGCTACATCGCAGCAAGTTTCCCAAGAAGGGTATCCACCGGACGAAGGGGATACTGGATTACCTCCACTCCGACTGTTGGGGTCCTTCACGAGTTGAATCCATTGGAGGCAGCAGGTATTTTCTGTCTATTATTGATGATTATTCGAGATTTACTTGGATTTTCATGATGAAACAGAAAAGTGAGGCTTTCACGAAGTTCAAGCAGTGGAAGACATTGGTGGAGAATCAGGCCGGTAAGAAGATCAAGAAGCTGCGAACGGATAATGGTCTGGAGTTCTGTAATTCTGAGTTCAACGAATTCTGCAAGGATGAAGGGATTGCCCGTCATCGGGCTGTTAGAGATACACCCCAGCAGAATGGCGTTGCAGAAAGGATGAACCAGACATTGTTGGAGAGAGCACGGTGCATGCTCTCTAATGCTGGACTAGAGAGAAGATTCTGGGCAGAAGCAGTAAACATGGCGTGCTTCCTGATCAACCGTGGACCACACACAGGTATCGAGTGTAAGACTCCTTATGAAGTGTGGTATGGTAAGCCTGCTGATTACTCTTCACTGAAAGTTTTTGGGTGTCCTGTTTATTATCACGTGGATGAGGGTAAACTAAACCCAAGGGCAAAGAAGGGTGTATTTGTTGGTTACGGAGATGGAGTTAAGGGATTTCGAGTCTGGTCACCTTCTGAGCATCGAGTTATACTTAGTAGAAATGTGATATTTGATGAGAAGTCTATGTTTAACCCCATGTTGAAGGTTACTGTTGTTGAAGGTAGCAGGAATGTTGATAAGCAGGTGGAGCTGCAAACTCTCAATGAGAGTGAGTTTGAGCACCAAGGTGGAGAAGATCAACATGATGAGGATGTCTCTGCAGAGCCAGAAACTTCAGAGTCCAGTGCACGAGCTAAACAGTCTATTGCTTCCGGTAGACTGAAGAGAGAGACTGCAGGAGTACCTCCACAGAGGTATGGCTTCGAGGACATGGTGGCGTATTCATTTCAGGTTGCTGAGGAAGTGGATGCAGGAGAGCCACAGTCCTATAGAGAAGCAGTTTCGGGTGGTGAAGCTGATCAGTGGCTTGCCGCAATGGGAGATGAGATGGAATCCCATGACAGGAATCAGACTTGGGAGCTAGTCAAACGACCACAGGGAAGGAAGATTGTTACAAACAAGTGGATCTACAAGAAGAAGGAAGGAATCACTTCTAAAGAGGGCATGAAATTTAAAGCTCGGGTGGTTGCACGAGGCTTCTTGCAGAGGGAAGGAGTTGACTACAATGAGATTTTCTCACCAGTGGTCAGACATACTTCGATCAGAGTGCTACTAGCAATAGTGGCACATTATGACTTGGAGCTCGAGCAGCTAGACGTGAAGACAGCTTTCCTACATGGAGAGTTGGAGGAAGAAATTTACATGACTCAGCCAGAAGGATTCGAGGTTCCGGGAAAAGAAGACTATGTTTGTAAGCTGAAGAAGTCCTTGTATGGACTTAAGCAATCTCCGAGGCAGTGGTACAAGAGATTTGACAGTTACATGTTTGAGCTGGGCTACAGCAGAAGTCCATATGATTGTTGTGTATATCACAGCAAGGCAGAGGATGGTTCGATGATATATCTAGTTCTGTATGTGGATGATATGCTCATAGCTGCGAGGTCAAAGTCTGATATCCAGAAGTTAAAGGGGCTTCTTAGTGCTGAGTTTGAGATGAAGGATTTGGGAGCTGCTCAGAAGATTTTGGGTATGGAGATTTACAGGGACAGGTCGAAGAAGAAGCTTTTCTTGTCACAGAAGAGCTACATCCAAAAGATATTGTCGAGGTTTGGCATGTCTTCAGCAAAGCCCTTAAATACTCCTAGTGCTTCAAATGTTCATCTATCCTCAGCTTATGCACCACAGTCAGAGGCTGAGAAGGAGTACATGTCGAGAGTCCCATATGCTAGTGCAGTAGGTAGCTTGATGTACGCTATGGTATGCACTAGACCTGATCTTGCACATGTTGTTAGTGTTGTCAGCAGGTTTATGATACAACCTGGGAAGGAGCATTGGCAGGCTGTGAAGAGGATCTTCCGGTACCTTAAGGGTACACCTGATGTGGGGATTAGCTTCGGAAGTGATACAGAGTGCTTGGTGTCTGGTATTCTGACTCGGACTATGCTGGAGATGTTGACACGAGGAGATCGATGACCGGTTATTTATTCACTCTTGGGAGTTCTGTAGTGAGCTGGAAGGCAACTTTGCAGTCGGCGGTGACATTGTCTACTACTGAGGCAGAGTATATGGCGTTGACAGAAGCTGCTAAGGAGGGAATATGGTTGAAGGGACTGGTTGGTGATCTGGGTCTACATCATGATCAGGCAGTGGTGTATTGCGACAGTTTGAGTGCAATATGCTTGGCCAAGGATCAAGTCCACCATGAGAGGACTAAGCACATCGATGTGAGGTATCATTTCTTGAGGACAGAGAAGAGGATTAAGGTGAAGAAGGTTGGCACCGCGGATAATCCTGCTGATATGTTCACAAAGCCGGTTCCACATGGCAAGTTCCAACACTACTTGGACTTGCTGAATGTCTTGAGTGGGTGACTCCTCCCTACGGGGCATTGATGGCGGGAGAGAGAGAAGGAGCAGAGTACATCAGAGATTTCAGAGGAAGAGGATTCAAGTCAAGGTGGAGATTTGTTGATATGACTTGAATCGGACTATCAGCCGCTACGACTGGTAATCGGGGGTCTCGCTGTTATTTGGGTTCGGGTTCTGGGCCTGGTCTGTAACCGTTTCCTTTGTCAGATTGGATTAGGTTTAGACCCACATGGAGAAGTACTATATATACTTCTCATACTCCTCTGTAATCTGTAATCTCCTCGATATAGTGAAATTGGCTCTCTCTCACCCGTGGACGTAGCTAACACACATCGTGTTAGTGAACCACGTAAATCGTGTGTCGCGTTTATAACACTATCCTCCATGACAACTTTCTCTGGTTTTTTTTCAAAATACTACTGTTCCACTCTAAAATTCCCACTATACAACCCTTCTACAAAACCAGCCATATTCGTGTAATTAACTAATTATCATGAGTTACTCGGTGATTATCTTGAGCTAAGCTAGCTGTACATATTTATCTCCAAAGGCAGAGTCCTATGTAAAGTCATGCTTGTATTTTGTGGTTATTTAACAAATAACAAACCGCACTTTTGGCGACGGATAATGTTACTCTGTCGCGAAAGCGTTCTACATGCATTGAGTATTGGTTTTCGCGACCGAAAATGATACCTCGTCGCCAAACATGCGCCTGCTGCAAAATCGCTAAAGCTCTGTGACGAAAAATTCGTCGCACAAGAAATATTCTGCGACGAAGCGTTCTGCCGGACAAATTATGCGAAGAAAGTTACTGTTGCACCCAGGACTTCTTGCGATGATTCCTTGTGTCACCGATAGATTAGCGTCGAAATAAATCATCACTAGAACTGAAATTTGTCTTGTCTTAACTCTTAAGCATCAACTTTATGTTTCTTTTATGCAAAAAACACTTCCATAGCCACAACTTTCACATTTGGGACAAATATAGCCACCACTTTTGGAAAACACAAAATAATCACTTCCTTCCATCCTTTTAACAATGTCAATTAACTATTTGACTAGACTGACAGAAAATACTGAGTTGGCAATATTTTGTCAATAATAATATAAGGTGGAATTAACTGAAAATCTCACATTGTTATGGTAATGTGGTAGGTTGGTAGTGATTTTATTTTCCGGAATTGAAATCGGCTCAAGCAAAATCCCACTAAATCTGCATGTCCACTATTCCCATAAATGATTAATCAACATCAATTTCGTATTTAATTTATTGTCTTTCAATTTTCCACTATATCGTTTTTTAAATTGTAGTCATTTGATCTAAAATATAAGTGGGCGGTTTAGATGTTAGTTAATACGGTAATAAGTCATATTGTCATATGAGCCGAGGTTAGCAATATGTTGAAATGATTACCACTAATAACATCTGACATTTTAAACGTTTCTACCCTATGAGTATGACTAGATAACAAAGCCAAAAAAAGTCCTCTTCAGATAGCTAACTACTTCATTAATAAATGAATGAATTGATCCACCATATCAAGGAGAGATCAATGAGAGTCATTATAAATATTAATAAAAAAATTATAAATATTAATAAAAGGCCTCAATAAAAACAGAGTACCATAAACTAGTAGTTGCAGAAGTACCATAAACTTGCAGATCATGAAATCATTATAACATTGATAATAAAAGACTACAGTAAAAACAGAGTCCCATAAACTTGCAGCTCTTGTTGTAGTAAGTAAAAACTTAAAATGAGAGGAAGCCAGCACTCCCAAAGGGAAGTGCTGACATATTCGGTGATGGTAGGTACGCAATTCTCCACAGTTGGGATAAACACACTCTTCAAAGCCGCAACAATGGAGGGCATGAGCCCTTACGTCTCTGTCGCTTATAGCTATGGAATCGCCTCTCTTGTCCTTCTCCTTCCTACTCTCTTTTCCCACAGGTTTTCTTCTGCTAATTTCTTCTTTTCTGGAAATTCTGCAAGTTCCCCCACAAGTTTGAGTAGCATAATCTTTTGGGTTTGTTTGGGTGCATCATTTCGATTCGCAGTTCATCATCAAGAGCTGTTGACGTTCCTCCCTTGACCATACCAATCTTGTGCAGAATCGGTCTTCTGGCACTCACAGGGTAACTTTCTTCTGGGTAAATTTAGATACTTCATGGCGCATTTCAATCATTCATCCCAGTAACTCAAGTTATAACGTGCAGAGATGTTTATCGTATGCAGAAGTTCGTCCCGGTTGACAGGCTTCACCGGCCTGTATTACAGTTCCCCAACCCTGTCGTCGGCCATTGGCAACCTCTGTCCAGCTTTGACATTCATACTTGCTGTCATGTTTGGGTAAAACTAAACTCTTCAAACCCTCCCATTCATCAAAACTTCAAAACCCATCTCTGGCTCCTTTGTAACTTGTTTCCTTCTGGGAAAAAAGGATGGAGAAAGTTGTGATGGGAACAAGGTCCAGCCAGGCCAAAATCTTGGGTACAACTGTGTCAATAGCAGGCGCATTTGTCATAACACTTTACCAAGGTCCGCCAATTTGTATCACCCGGTCTGGATCATCATCTCGACTCGGCCATTCTCTTGTTCATTCCGCAGCAGCACAAAACTGGGTTCTTGGTGGCAGTTTAATCACTCTTCAGTATGCGCTGGTTACTTTGTGGGCGTTTCTCATGGTATGAATATAGAATGTTCATATTCTGAACTCTAACAATCCTATGATGCCCCATTTACCAATCAATTTACAATTTTTTGTTGTTCATTGTTTGGCAGACACAGATAATGAGAGATTACCCTTCGGAGCTTACAGTAATCTTCATCTACAACACATTTGTAAGCATCATAGGTGCAGTTGTTGCTCTGATTGCCGAAGGAACATCGTCGGGTGCTTGGATAATGAGCTCAAACACGGCACTAGCCTCAGTCATTTGCACCGTAAGTGCCAGGAGAAAACGATACAAGATCCAATTTTCAATAAACTGATTTTTTACGCCAAACCATGTGAACGGGAAAACAGAGTATGTACTCGAATGGAGGATTATAGATTCTGACCTTCAGCCGATTACGGCTTGAACAATTGTACTAAAAATAACAGGGATTATTTGGATCGTGCTTGAACAATGCCGCTGAAGCATGGGTGCTGCCGATAAAAGGACCCGTTTTTGCTAACATGTTCACTCCGTTTGGAATGGTGATCGCTGTCGCCATGGGTGTAGCGCTGCTAGGTGATACTCTGCATCTTGGAAGGTAACTTACCAACCTAGTATATACCTATTCAAACTAAGATCTTCCTTTGGTCAAATCTTATTAATGAATACAACTTTTCAATTTGGATGATTGTACTCTCCTACTTTGCCAGTCTCCTCGGAGGGACAACCATATCCATCGGCTTCTACATGTTCATGTGGGGAAAGGTGAAAGACCAAAACGATGACGGCGGCGCAAAAACAGAGCAGAATGCCGATGACAATAGTAGCAGCAGCAATACAGATAAGGTTCCTTTACTATAAGGTAGGAAACAGAGGCAGTTTATGGCGGACTTAAGTTTGCTTGAATTCCAACTTTTTCATTCCAGTTTGGAGCTAAAGCTCAAAGTAATGGACAGGAAGTTGGAAGCTGGTTTCCAGAACAAAGAGTTCATAAGAACAAAAATCTTTCGTCAAACATGGTAACTCACCGTCAAATCCAATTCTCTTTTCCTCTGTAGAGATGTAACAACATAAGGTACTATCTCAATCAGTCATGTATCTCATCCGCATTCTAAAAAGACAGTGTGGCTACAGAAACAATTAACACCACCTAGGCCCCAGAGTAACTATCCCAGCTTCCTAGGCAAAAGAAAAGGGAGGGGATGAATGGTACATACCAACATAATTGTTTACCATGACTTTCTCTGGAGATGTACAACCAAAGTTCAAAACTTGCAGCTTTTCTCTTTCAAGGCTTCAGATCATCAGACATTGCCGAAGGTATGCAATGCATTGCAAGGATATCTAATGTTGCAGCCTTCGCCGTCTCTGTTTTTACAACCACTACCTGGCAAAAAAGTTCAACAAATCAATAACAAGTTATCAGGGTTTTGTTAAAAGCAAGAGAAAGAAGAGCGAGAGCGAGAGCAAATGACCACCTGTTGGTATTCTAACTCAAACTTCAAATACTCATCCTTGCAGCTTTCCACCATGTTCGCCAAGCTCTTCAGGTTCTTCACGGGTTTCCCATTAAACGTAATAACCTATTACAACCAACAAAACAATAAGCTTACTAAAGTTGATTTCAAAGATTGCTCGAGATATACACAGAATTATGTTTAAACAAGGGTACCTGGGTGTTGACAATATCCTCGTATCCAATGTTGATGTCAGCAACAAGTACCTAGTACCAGTTTCACAAGCATACGTATCTAGTGAGACCTTCCTTCTCATAAAGAAAATGACTCATTTGCTTTCAGGAAGTTGGCAGAGACTATACCTGTGAGATAACAACAAGCTGCTCATCTGGAGATTCAGCCATAGCATGCATATGCCGGTCCAATAGCTTCACTGGAGCTTCATATTCATAGTCCTTTCCATACTAGAGAGAGAACAATGCAGAAATTGAAGTCAGGTATCAAAAAAGGTTGAAGCTTCCAAATTTGGAGAGGCATAAAGCATTTACCACACTAATCAAGAAATTAAGTCAGATGTTGATTACAACAGTGTTTCCATTAAGATGGCCAAGTCAATATGCTTAAAAGCAACTTTACCTCTGAGCGCAAATATGGAACTGATACAGCAGAGAAAACAAATCCAGCAACAATGTAATAGGAAGGAGGTTTCCCATTTATGTGTGCTGGAATGAGCCTCTTGTGTGGTTGAAGTTTGATCTTGAACTCAAGTACTTTAGAATCACGCAGAACTTTCACCAAAGCCTTGTCACCGGTGTATTTTTGAGAAACTAGGTAGCTGAATCCTATGCGTTCTCCATCTCTGAAAGGAACTGCCAATTACCAAAGGAATGGTAAGCAAGCAAGTAAAGATGGAAAATAATCCTATACATTCCATGCAAGAAATGACAGTTGGCTCAACTGAAGTACTGTTACAACCCTGAGAAGCAAGCAAGTAAATATCGCAATACCCTATTTCAGAAATGATCCCGACATGTGTCCAAAAATCTAAAATTCTTACTTGTTCCGTCATTTGCTATCTTTACCCCATCGAAGCTAAGGAGAATATCAGATGACTTTAAGACTTCAGATTCTGGAGCAGTTGGCTCAATTCTTCTAATACGGACACCCTTCTGATCAGATGCCATCCCCATTGCTACCCTCAAATCAGGATTTTCCATCTTCTGCCACTCAATCCCAAGAACAGGGAAACCTGTCAACATAAATAGAGGTGAAAGTGAAGCAAACATCAGCTTTAAACCATCAGAAAATAGTCCAAGCTATATTGTCACTATGCTAGCATGTTTCACCCTATAAGTCTCATGTTGGTCGAGAATAACGTTCCAGGAAGAGGGCTAGGTACCTGTATAAACCCCATTTTTCTCATAATCACCAATAAAATGTTTGATAACTGGTGTTGGTATGACATAGCCAATATTTTCAGCATCATCATGTTTCAAAGACTGAAATGCAATGCCAACACACTTTCCCTTGTCGTTGAATGCAGGCCCACCAGAGTTTCCAGAGTTTATAGCTGCATCTATCTATGATTGCTTACATTCAAACAGTTAGTCACGCTATTTGTTGAAAGAAAATAATAAAAACAGAATGATGACAGCACAAAGGCAGAGATAAGAACCTGCAGCCCTAGAAGCTCGGTAGTCGCATGGACATAAGACAGCACCTCTATACGGGAGACAACACCACTTGTTACAGAGATTGTGTCACCCCCAATAGGGTAGCCTACAACAGTCACAGCATCTTGAAGTGCAGGCAAATCTCCAAACTCGACAGGTGTAACACCCTCCCAGAACTCATCATCATTGACAGTCAACAATGCTGCAAGGTCAAGAAGCGAGAGAGACATCATTATTATATAACTCAAGCCACTTCCTCGCATAAAGAAGCAACTCAAATTCCAAGCAATATAAAATGAGACGCATATCAACCCAAACAGAAATTCTGTAATGGCTAGCTCGGAGTCAAACAAAATTGTACAGCTCAGGCAGTAAAACTCATCGATGATAGCTTGATGTGTGTATGTTGCAACGCCAAAGCTGAGACATCACAGCTAGGAATAGAAATTAAAAAGCAAAGAACTTCAAACACATACCAATATCACATTCGGTTCCAATGGCCAAAACAGTAGCCAAGTACTTAGTATCAGAACCCCTCTTCTTGAGCTTCACCTGAGTATGATGCTCCACGGAGTGCGCATTTGTCAGCACTCTCCTCCCACCAATGATAAATCCACTGCTGCTTGAACTATACTGCCGCTTCCGCTGCCAGGGAAGCGAGAAATTCGGGTCCGTATGAACGCAGAACACCTTCACGACAGCATCCATGGCCGGAACCACTCGAACCACAGTCTCCCACTCCGGGCCAGGGCCCACGGAGCTGTTCACGTGTCCATTCTGCTCGGCGGCCTGCTGCTGCCGAGTCAGCCGCCTCTCCGACTCAGGGGACATAGGTTCCGCCACCCTATCCTTGCGTTTCGAGGACTTCTTAGGCCTTCCCCTGCCGCGGCGTGGAGATGCATCGCCGTTGTTGGCGGCGGCGGGAGGAGACTCCGCAGCGTGAATAGCAGTGGAGGGTTGGGGAGCGGCATCGTCTGGAGACGTGTCACCGGCGTTGGTTGGTTCGGAATCGTCCCTTCGTGCTCGCTTCCTGGTCCTCGTCATCTCGCCGGCGACCTCCGAGTCGGTAGCTGGCTAGGGCTTTACTAATTTCCGAGCCTGTGTAAATTCAATCGACGGAAGGGAAGCGCGACAGAGAATGGAGGATGCGAAAGCGCCGAAGATGTAGGAACATTTGGGCTTCATAACTCTAGGCCTGTTAATGGGCCTTCGCCTAAGAGGGCATTAAGCCTGCCGTCTCTTTTTAGTTTTCCTCCCTTGGGCCTGCGCTCAAGCATATTAAGCCCGCCGTCCATTTTTCATTATTGTAAAATCGAGCGCGGATGCCAGACTCGACGGCGCGTCTAGGATGGAATGGAACACATTTCGCCGGGCGGGACTCCGTCCGTCTCTCAGGACCCCGCCGTCAACCTGCAGCGTTCATTCTTACCAAGCTTCCTGGTGGGGGTATTGAAGGCACGATTATGGAAGATGTAAATGGGGATTTTCTATAAAATCCATCGCCACCAAGCTACGTTATGGCTTAGCATTTACACAGGTACGATCTCTACTCTGTCTCTACGGGAATGAGTGCCCTGTTTCGTTGCTTGAAGAAAGCTGCAAACCGTTTCTTTCATTTTAGTTCTTAGTTATTTGACAATGTGAAAGTAGGAACCTGACATTGCCGCATTGGGGTCTTTAGAGATCCTTTCTGGGTCATGTTTTCCCAAACTGCATGGTAGGTGTTCGCGAAAATGCCTAAATGAAACTGGAGTTTCGAGAATTCGGACTTCAGTTGCTTTCGGGGAAAGGATTCTTTGTACGTGAACGGTAAGGATTTTTGTTTAATATAATAATACCCCGTGTGATTCATGGGTCATGGGTCGTGATCCTCCGGACCTAATTGCGAACTGTTTATCAACTACTGTATCTTAGCCTCCTTTGTCAATGGGGAATTGGGGATCCTTAGATGTTATGGGACAATCCAAGTACCACATCGGTAATACATGGGAAGGGACCCTGCCCGATTTCGACATTCTAGTTGGATGTAATTAGCTACATCAGCCACGTCTTATAAATATTTTATCTTTTTGATGATTGTTTTGTGTCCAACGTGTAGAATAAGACAGATGAACCTGGTGAAATGATCGTAATTAATCACAGATTCGAATCCATGATTTGGTGAATGTTTCCATGTGGTGCTAACAGCTCAGTCTCACTAATCACTGCTAGTCTTCTCACCATGCAATGCTCTCTGACATAGTATGGTTAACTGTCCTTCTAATTACCCTGGTGAATCCTCGGATTAGTATCAGCAGGTATTACTCACATGATTGAGACACCCTCTGTTTTTACTCATTTTTATGTTCTCAGTTTCACATCCTCCTCGCCATCCCATTCACCCAAAGGTAAACTGCAGCAATTTAGCTCACCACCTAAGCATTGCTGTGACAATATCTAATTGGGGTGCTTCCCTCGTGTTTCTCTACGTATTGACTTTTGCACTATTTATTTGCTTCTATGAAATCTGGTTCACTTGACAAGAAAACTGACACTACGGTAGGTGCTTCTCTCTTTTTTTCTACAGATTGATTCTTGCACTGATCAATTTTATGACGGTCCGATTGACAAGAAAAGTTAATTTATTGGGGGTGCTTATCTCTTTGTTTCTACTATAAATTTATTCTTGCAACATCCATTTCATAGCATCTACTTGACTGTACTGTACCAAAGTTCCATTGAACATATGAGCCATGTCCTCTGTATTTACTAGGTTTTTCAGAAACTTGATCACTAAGTTTATCCAAGAGGAGTTCCATGGGGCTGTGGCTAAGATGTCAGTGTTGGATGCTTTCCTTTTCTGGGTAAAAAAGAAAAATTGTCCTTCCACGGTTAAGATCCTGTGCGTCCATGCTACTAATAGTTATGCTTTGCTCACAAATGTTGATAACCCCATTTTTGTGTTTTGATTGTTTCTCTGCAGATTGTACATTCCGTAGATAAGAAGCGTCTATGGCACAGGCTGCCTGTGATTTTGGGTCTCGCTTACCTGGAAATTCGTAGACATCTTCACCAGGTCTACAATTTGCTAGATGTTGGCCATCAAATTGGTGAAGGTTTCAACCCGGCTGATTATCCTTACAGGATAGCAGATGGAAGGTATAATGATCCCTCCAATGAGGTTGCAGGCAGTGTAAACTCTTTCTATGGCAGGAACGTTATGCCATTTGATCAGAAAGATAAGGTACAGTAACCTTTGATAAACGAACTCACACAACGTACATATATCATATATGCATGCATGGCAAGAAAAAAAGCGTGCGACTTTTGCAAGCTATGTTTTACCCTTTTCATATCAAGGTTTCTTACTTTACTGTTGTAGTTGATAACACCACATCCTGCCCTAGTGGCTACAAAACTACTGGCTAGGAGAGAGTACAAGGACACAGGAAAGCAGTTCAACATGGTTGCAGCCTCGTGGATTCAGTTCATGATCCATGACTGGATTGATCATTTGGAGGATACTAAGCAGGTTAATAGATAGATATATCTCCCCATCTTATTCTTTCACTACAGTATAGATAGAGAATGTTGGTAAGATTTCATGTGTTGTCTGATATGAGGGGACAAAGTCAACCAGTGGGAATTCATTTGATCTTATATGATACGTTTTTCCTTCTTTGACTAGTGGGGTAGAAAGAGGGCCAGATCTTGTCCAATGAAAAGTGTAGTTTTGAGTTGATGATCTTTGGCCTAAGATTCTCTGCAAACTGCTCACATATAATTTCAGTTGAGTTGGTGCATTTTTCCCCTTCCGGGGGATAATTGCAATTCAAGTACAGAAAATTAGTTTAAGCGTCAAGTACAGAAAATCAGTAAAACTTAATTGACACTTCTTGCTAATTCCTTATGTACAGCATGTTGGTTGGCGAGGACAACTAATTGAAGTTGAAGTGTCTTTTACTCTAAACATCATTAAGCAACTTTTTTATAAGTTTAAGGATGGAGAATTTTAAATAACTGTGAGAAACAAATGTGGTCATTTTCTAGATGGGTAGTGTGACAGAAAGATGCTATTTAGAACAAGGGAAAGCAAAATATCTAGAAATTTAGAAACTTTAATGTGTTAAGTTGAAAATTTAGATAAAAATGTGGGTTCTACTGTATATTCGTATTATACTTAAATAATTGAACGTACAACCTAAACGTATATATAAAATACCTATTTAGAACAAGGGAAAGCAAAATATCTAGAAATTTAGAAACTTGTGTTAAGTTGAAAATTTAGATAAAAATGTGGGTTCTACTGTAAATTCGTATTATACTTAAATAATTGAACGTACAACCTAAACGTATATATAAAATACCTTAGAAAATTTGTTGATACTCTGTTTACTAGGTTCTGCTAAGCCCCTAGACTGTATCAAGTGAATGGAAATGTGTAACTTTTACATGAAACACACTTCAACTTGTCTTTCTCGTTTAGCACACCATGCATGCAGCCACTATCTATGCTCATCTATTACTGCATTAGTAGACTACTTCCTGAGTTCCAATCTAATACTTCCTTTTGGTTCTCATGCATCCTCATTTTTTTTCTTTAGATAGAACTGATTGCGCCAAAAGAGATCGCGAGCCAATGCCCTCTTAGTTCATTTAAGTTCTATACGACCAAGGAAGTCCCAACTGGCTTGCCAGACATTAACACGGGTTTCCTGAACCCACGTACATCTTGGTGGTAAGTACTAATAATCCTCTGAAGCATCTTATGTCTTTCATTTGTGTTCCAAAATGACAAAGTAAAGCTCATCATGGTAATGGGTGCGCCATTCTTCTGAGTGGAGGGATGGAAGTGGTATCTATGGAAATGATGCAACACGGTTGCAGAAAGTGAGGGAGTTCAAAGATGGGAAGCTGAAGATAGCTGAAAATGGTCTTTTACCCCATGATGAAGATGGGTTGGCTATTTCAGGAGATATTCGAAATTCCTGGATTGGTACCTCTACCCTGCAGGCCCTCTTCGCTAGAGAGCACAATGCTGTCTGCGACATGCTCAAGGTGATCAGTTCTGACAGAAAAAGAAAACTATATATAGTAACCCTTGTATATATGTATGTAACTGAAACACCATCTCTGAAAATCGTTGGTTTTCAGAGAGAATATCCAGAGATGGGAGATGAAGAATTATACAGGCGGGCAAGATTGGTGACAGCTGCTGTGATTGCTAAGGTTCATACCATTGATTGGACAGTCGAGCTCCTGAAAACCGATACATTACACGCTGCAATGCGAGCAAACTGGTATGGATTGCTGGGGAAATGGTTCAAGGACACATTTGGCCACATTGGAGATCCTCGACTGGGAGGTCTCGTTGGTTTGAAGAAGCCAGAAAATCATGGAGTTCCATACTCCTTAACAGAGGATTTTGTCAGTGTATACCGGCTGCACTCACTTTTGCCCGACGAGTTGCTAGTTAGAGACATTTCAACTGAATCAGCTCCCGACGAGTCTCCACCGGTAGTCAAAAAGTATATTTCCCTGTCATCTCTCCCTGATCACTTGAAAAGAACAACGGCTTCTTGTGATTTTATGTTCTGTGCTTTTTTCTTGGACAGGCTGCCCGTTCCAGAGTTAATTGGCTCAAAAGGTGAGAAGGTCTTAGCAGAGATAGGATTCGATAGGCAAATGGTGTCCATGGGCCACCAAGCCTGTGGCGCTCTTGAGCTATGGAACTACCCTAATTGGCTCAGGAACATCGCACCCGATGATCCCAATGGCAAAGACAGGCCTGATCATGTCGATCTGCCAACTCTTGAAGGTATGAAGTAATCATCCTTACAGAATCACAGCGCTCAACCATCATCAGCTACCATGTATCTGCTTGCCAACATATGTTTATATTATGTTCTTTGTACAGTATATAGAGACAGAGAGAGGAAAGTTCCGAGGTACAATGAGTTCCGCAGACGCCTGTTGATGATACCAATATCAAAATGGGAAGACCTAACGGACGACAAGGAAGCCATTCGAGTTCTCACTGAGGTTTATGGCGATCGAGTTGAGGAACTAGATCTTCTTGTCGGTCTCATGGCAGAGAAAAAAATCAAAGGATTCGCCATAAGTGAGACTGCATTCTTCATATTCATTCTCATGGCTTCGAGGAGGCTGGAGGCTGACAGGTTCTTCACGAGCTACTTCAACGAGGAAACCTACACAAAGAAAGGGCTTGCATGGGTGAACAGAACGGAGTCTCTCCGAGATGTGATCAGTCGCCACTGTCCTGGAATGACGAAGAAATGGATGAAATCTGCTAGTGCATTTACTGTCTGGAATGCGCCTCCTCAGCCCCAAAGCTGCATTCCCCTCTATCTCCGGATTCCAGGATTTATGTGAAATTTCTGGCTATTATTGCTGGTTTCCTATTGTTTCATAAATAAAAGCTAGCAGAAATGTTGTGTGTGATACCAAGATCAATGTTTGAGTTTCTTTTATTGAGGGTAATTTGGACCACCAGGAACATTGTTATGCTGGTAGTGGTAGACTGCAGGTGTTTCACTTGTCCCTGTACTTGTGGACTCTGGTATTTGAGATGATTGGGGGCAAAAAAATCAATTGACGGAAGGGAAAGCGCGACAGAGAATGGAGGATGCGAAGTCGAAGATGTAGGAACATTTGGGCTTCCAAATTATGGGCCTGTTAATGGGCCTCCTCTTAATAGGGCAAAACCCCGCTCTCTTTTCAGTTTCTTCTCGATGGGCCTGCCCTTATGGACATTAAGCCCGCCGTCTTGTTTTAATTATTGTAAAATCGCGCGCGGAACGGCGGAAGGCAGACTCAACGGCGCGTCCCCGATGGAACACATTTTGCCGGACGGGACTCCGTCGATCTCTCGGGACTCCGCCATCAACTGGTGGCTTTCATTCTTACCAAGCTTCCCAGTGGGGTGATGAATGCTAGATGATGGAAGATATTAATTGGGATTTCCTATAAAATCCTTTGCCACCAAGCTACCTTACAGGTACTGTCTCTACTCTGTTTCTACGTGAATGAGTGCACAGTTCCGTTGCTTGAAGAAAGCTGCGAACTTTGATGAAAGCCGTTTCCTTCAATTTTAGTTGTTGTATTATCTGACAATGTGAACGTAGGAACGTGACGTTTGGGTCTTTAGAGAATAGAGATACTTTCTCGGTATGTTTTCGCCAACTGCATGGTAGGTGTTCGCGAAAATGTCTAAATGAAAATTGAGTTTCGAGAATTAGGACTTCAGCTAGTTTCGGGAAAAGGTTTGTATATACGTGAACGATAAGGATTTTTGTTTAATATAATATCCTGTGTGATTCATGGGTATGAGTCGTGACCCTCCGGACCTAATTGCTAACTGCATATCAATTATTGTGGCATTGCCTCCTCTGTCAATGGGGATCCTTCTAGCTGGATGTAATAAGCTACATCAGCCAAGTCTAAGTATTTCATCCATTTTTTATGATTGTTTTGTGTCCAACGACTAGAATAAGATAGATGAACCTGGTGAAAATTACTCTAAATTAATCCCAAGGATTTGAATCCGGGATGTGGTGAATGTTTCCATGTCGTGGTAACTGCGCAGTCTCACTAGTCACTGCTGTTCTTTTCACCGTTAACTGTCCTTTTGACTACCCTGGTGAATCCTTTGGATGAGTATCAGCTTGGTATTACTCACATGATCGAGACACGACTTTGTTTTTTACTCATTTTTGGCTTCTCAATTTCACACCCTCCCGGCCGCCATTCCAAAAGTAAACTGCAGCTGTTAATTTAGCTCAGAACCTATGCGTTACTAATACTATCACCATATTTAATTTGGGTGCTCCCCTCGTGTTTCTCTACACGTTGACTTTTGCGCCATTTCTTTCATTTTGTGAAATCTGGTTCACTTGACAAGAAAACTGACACTAAGGTGGGTGCTTCTCTCTTTGTTTCTACAAATTGATTCTTGCACTGCTCAAACTATGACATCCATTTGGTCCAGTTAACAAGAAAACTTAATCTATTTGGAGTGCTTATCTCATTGTTTCTCTACTATAAATTGATCCTTGCACCATTATTTGATGGGCATCTACTTGACCGACTGTTCTATACTGAATTGCCTCTGAACAGATAAACCATGTCCTCTGTATTTACTAGGTTTTGCAAAGACTTGATCACTAAGTTTATCGAAGAGGATTTCCATGGGGCTGTGGCTAAGATGACAGTGCTTGATGCTTTCCTTTTCTGGGTAAAAGAAAAAATGTCCTTCCATAGTTGATATCCTATGTGTCCATGCTAATAATAGTCGTGTCTTGCTCATTAATGGAGATAACCCCATTCTTGTGTTTTGATTGTTTCTCTGCAGATTGTACATTCCATTGACAAGAAGCGTCTATGGCACAGGCTGCCTGATTTTGGGTCTCGGTTACCTGGGAATACGTAGACACCTTCATAACGTCTATAGTTTGCTCAATGTTGGTCACCAGATCGGTGAAGGCTTCAACCCGGCTGACTATCCGTACAGGACAGCAGATGGAAGGTATAATGATCCCTCCAATGAGTTTGCCGGCAGTGAAAACTCTTTCTTTGGCAGAAACGTAATGCCTCTTGATCAGAAAGATAAGGTACAGTAACCTTAGACAAAGAAACTCAGGCAACGTACATATGTCATCTTTGCATGCATGGCAGAAAAAAGAGTAGTGTAGATCTAGTAGGCTGGCTTTGTTTTTACCATTTTCTGATCAAAGTTTCCTATTTTGTTGTTGTAGTTGATAACACCACATCCTGCTGTAGTGGCTGCAAAACTACTGGCAAGGAGAGAGTACAAGGATACAGGAAAGCAGTTCAACATGGTTGCAGCTTCTTGGATTCAGTTCATGATCCACGACTGGATTGATCATTTGGAGGATACCAAGCAGGTATATATTATACATAGATAGATACGGATAGATATATCTTACTAAATCTTCTTGTTTTAGATACCATTTTTATGTGTTTCCTGTATTAGAATATAGAGAGTGTGAATGTTAGGAAGATTTATGTGTTGTCTGATATATGGCGACAGAGTCAACCAGTGGAAATTCATTTGATCTTATCTAGTACGTTTTTCCTTCTTAATTGGTGGGTTAGAAGAAGGCTAGTTCCTGTCCAATGATAAGTGGAGTTGCGAGTTGGTGATCTTTGGCGTGGATTACAGAAAATTCACACAAAAAAAAGTATTGTCACCAGTGTTTATTGGCGTGGATTACTTGAGACTAGGAAGGGCTGAATGTATATTGTTTTCTAATGGTTGCCATTGGATCTTCATCAAACTAAGTTTAAGTTTTGGATCAACTTGGTGCTTAGGCACCTAATCTGGTCAGCTACTTATTTTGTGGCGTGAAATGATCATTAAGTGTCAAATTAATGTTCTTAGTATTTTCTGGAGACCATTCAATTCAATTAGTAAAAGGTCAGTTGACCAAGTTGGCTACAACTGAAACTAGTAATAAAAGTCGAAGTGTGTTTTACAATAAAAGTTACCAACAACTTTTATTGTTTTTTAGGTTGGAGGATCTTATTTACATATCTAAATAATGACGATTGAACAAATGGTTCTAGATGGTTCTAGTGTAGGGGTGTCGATTCGAGTTTGGTTTTTCGGTGCTAACCGAAGCTATTTAACAGGCTTATTGATTTCCTTAAATGGTGAAAATCAATAAGCGCCTAACGGTTTCGGTTTCCATTAAAACGGAAAAACATTAGTAAATCAATAAAACTGTAATTCTTAATGCAATCAAATGTTCTTTTTTTTGTTTCTCAGTTTCAATTTTAGACAACTGACTAATTTGGGTTTCAGATTTCTACTGATTTTTCGGTTCAGTTACTCTAGTGACTGACTGAAATATTCAAGAATTGGAACTTTAGAGGCTAAATAGAATTTTATAATTACTTAAATAAATTTTAATAAATTATATGGTCCGGACTACTTTAAAATCATATTAAAGAGAATAGGGATGGAAAGCTTTGTAATTCTATGTCAAATCAACTTATGTTACTTCTTTCTGATACCGGAGTACTTCCAATCTAGTAACTTATTCTGTTTCTCGTGAATTCTACCTTCTTTTATTTAGATAGAGCTTATAGCACCAAAAGAGATTGCCAGCCAATGCCCTCTGAGTTCTTTCAAGTTCTACATGACCAAGGAAGTTCCAACTGGTTCCTCAGACATCAACACTGGTACCCTGAACACACGTACATCATGGTGGTAAATACTAGTAATCCTCTGAACCATCTCCTGTTTTTCGTTTGTGTTTCAATTCGGCCAAGTAAAGCTCATCATAAAGGTGCTGTTACATTCTGGGTGAAGGGATGGAAGTGCTATCTATGGACAAAATGCAACAAGGTTGCAGAAAGTGAGAGAGTTGAAAGATGGGAAGCTGAAGATAGCTGAAAATGGTCTTCTACCCCATGATGAAGATGGGGTGGCTTTATCAGGAGACGTTCGTAGTGCCTGGATTGGCACCTCTACCCTGCACGCCCTCTTCGTCAGAGAGCACAATGCTGTCTGTGACATGATCAAGGTGATATGTTGCAACAACAGAACTCTATAGTAAAACTTGTGTCTCTGATACTGAAACACCATCTCTGAAAAATGTTGGTTTTCAGGAAGAATATCCAGAGATGGTAGATGAGGAACTATACAGGCGGGCAAGATTGGTGACAGCTGCTGTGATTGCCAAGGTTCACACCATTGATTGGACTGTCGAGCTCCTGAAAACTGATACATTACTCGCTGCAATGCGAACAAACTGGTACGGATTCCTGGGGAAATGGTTCAAGGACACATTTGGCCACATTGGAGATGCTCAACTGGGAGGTCTTGTTGGTTTGAAGAAGCCAGAAAATCATGGAGTTCCATATTCCTTAACAGAGGATTTCGTCAGTGTATACCGACTGCACTCACTTTTACCTGACGAATTCCTTGTTAGGGACATTTCAACTGAACCAGCTCCCAACGAATCTCCACCTGTATCCAAAAAGTATCGTTCTCCTTTATCTCTGCCTGATCACTTCAAATTATAGAATGGCTTCTTGTGATGTATTTGATGTTTTGTGCTTTTTTCTTGGGCAGGCTTCCGCTTCCAGAGTTAATAGGGGCAAATGGAGAGAAGTTTTTATCAGAAATAGGGTTCACTAGGCAAATGGTCTCCATGGGCCATCAAGCCTGTGGGGCTCTTGAGCTATGGAACTACCCCAATTGGCTTAGGAACTTGACATCCGAGGATCCCAGTGGCAGAGACAGGCCTGATCATGTGGACCTGCCAGCCCTTGAAGGTAAGATAATTAATTATCCTTACTAAAAAATCACAGTTCTCCATCATATCATCTAGCATGTGTCTGCTTGCTAACATATCTTCATATTATGTTCTTTGTACAGTATATAGAGACAGGGAGAGGAAAGTTCCGAGGTACAATGAGTTCCGCAGACGCCTGTTGATGATACCAATATCGAAATGGGAAGACCTAACGAACGACAAGGAAGCCATCCGAGTGCTCACTGAGGTTTATGGCGATCGAATTGAGGAATTGGATCTTCTAGTCGGCCTCATGGCAGAGAAAAAGATCAAAGGATTCGCCATAAGCGAGACTGCGTTCTTCATATTCATCCTCATGGCTTCAAGGAGGCTGGAGGCTGACAGGTTCTTCACGAGCTATTTCAACGAGGAAACCTACACAAAAAAAGGGCTCGCATGGGTGAACACTACGGAGTCTCTTCGAGATGTGATCGATCGCCATTCTCCTGGAATGACCAAGAAATGGATGAACTCTACTAGTGCATTTACTGTCTGGGATGCGCCTCCACAGCGCCAAAGCTGGATTCCTCTCTATCTCCGGATTCCAGGATTTATGTGACATCTCTAGCTGTTATTGCTGGTTTCCAATTGTTTCATAAATAAAAGCTAGCAGAAATGTTGTGTGTGATACCAAGATCAGTGTTTGGTATTCTTTCATTGGGGGTAATTTGGACCAGCAGGAACCATGTTATGCTGGTGGACTGCAGCCTGCAGGTGCTTCACTTCGTCAGAGAGCACAATGCTGTCTGCAGGTGCTTCACTTGTCCCTGTACTTGTGGTAGATGAGATGATAGGGAAAGAAAACAGAGATGTGAGATAAAATAATAAGAATCTCTGAGCTATTATTACCGAACATATTTAGCACTTGAAAATTCTTGCAAGGTTTTTAAATTTGATGTTAAAAAAGGTAATGTCTATTTTTTATCCAAATCTTTTTCAGATTCTTTTATATTATCCAAACCTATCGAGAAATACTAAAAATTAACCAAATGTTAACTTTCAGTTAGCAATTTTGTTAGTAATGTTGACTTGACAACATGATACTGACTTGGAAGAGACACATGAAGGTTAACATTCCAAAATTTTAGTGTTTTAATTAAGAAAAGAGTTAAAAAATTATTAACGATAACATAAAAATGGCTAATATTTTGATGCATTATGAAAGATTTGGCTAATTAATAGAATTTTAATAGGTTTAGATAATATAAAAGAATATGAAAAAGGTTTGGATAAGTAATAGACATTACCCTTCAAAAAAATTATGCCATCTTCCACGACTTTAAGATATGTAGCGAGTATCTATAATTACTAATATGTATAAAGCTCCTTTAAGGTAGAAGCCTTCCATATTTTATGGTAGCAATAAAAGGTTCTGACCACGGCTCGATGTTCGAATCGAAAAAATTTCATTTGACAGTCAGCTCGTTTACTAATAAGTTGAGGTTGAGATAGCTCAACTAGGTGTTTTGTTGAGCTCAACTCGTGAGTTACCTCGTTTTGAGCTATGGTCTTACTCTACAATTTGACTAGCAAGCCACCTCGACTAGCGGCTTATGAGTGAATTGATTTATAATTTATGAGTTGACTTGTTGATAATTTATAGGTATCTTAGATTATGTATCTCATTATTTGATGTCTATGACTTTGATTACGTGAGCAAATATGTTTTCTTTATAATTAAAAGAGATATAATGTGTCATAGATTGTTTGGACTTTGGATACTAATTACTATTAAAATTTATAAATTTAAATTATATGATACTTGAACTCGAGCTCAAATAGAGCTCGTGAGCTCATTAATGAGTCGAGCTCGAGTCAAACACAAGTCAAGGTTTCAGTACGCAAGTCGAGTTCGAACTTAACAAGTTTATTAACGAACTGAGTTCAAATTAGACCAAAACTCTGATTAGACTTTACTCATTTGCTATTTCTACCCCTTCATATTGTAGAGGATGTGACTTGTAAGATTCGAAAAAGTCTGATAATTGACTCAAGATAAACTATGTGATATATTGACGTAGACTTAATTCATAGAATTTAACCATAAAAATCTAAATCGTGCATCACATTTATCTCCAAAGATGAAAATATACTCAACCATGTGCTATATTAATGTGATTCATACAATATACTCAACCTACTTTCTTGAAATGAGTAAACTGCCCTCATAACACCTTATATCAGGCCACTTCGAAATTATGTTTTTGATTCTTCCATTTTTATTTATTTGTTTGTTGAAAAGTTCATCATTCTTTGATGGTTGGTGCTCTCATTAGGAATTATTGGTAGCCGTGAAGAAGAATATATTCATATTTATGACATGTTTTTTTTATTTTATAATTTTATGACATGCTTTTCTTTTCAAGATTGATTACAAACGCTGAGTTGAGAAAAAAAAATTCTTCAACAATGATTAAATCAACTAAAAATATTAATTTTGAAATAATTCAATAATAGCCCTAAATTTTAGGCACAATTTTTATCCTTTCATCCAGATTCATACATGAAAAGTATTTAAATATCTAATTAATCTAATTATACACACAAAAACTAATTTCCACCAAAAAATATCCAATCGATTCAATTATTTATTATTTTTCTCTAGTAATACTATTTAGAGCTTTAGCCAGAAGATTTCAGCTGACATCTTCAACTCACATAGAACATAATTCCATTCCATTTCTTGAGCCCATAAGGTCGTAAAGAACATCAACGTTAGATGATGTGAGTATGGTCACAATGTTAATAATTGAATTTGTTTTATGAATGATACATGCATATATTAAAAGGAAAATAGATCACAAATTATGATTTATCCCAAAGAACGGCAAATATAAGTAGTCAAGAAGGTCATAAGATAGTGGTACAACTGTCATAAGATAGTGGCCGCCATTTCCATTTTGATAAGCAACGTACGACCATTGCAAGACTGTTTTACGATGGCCATAAGATAGTGGTACAACTTTCATAAGATACATGGTTAATTAGGATGGTCGCCTAAGATATAGTGTTACGATAGTAGTAAGACATTGTTACAACTATCTTATGATATAGTGTTAAAAAGTTCATAAGATAGAAATCATTGTTACAACTATCTTTTTGATCCCTCAATTCTTCTTTGATGGTTGTCGCTCTCATTAGAAACCATTCTAGGAGGCATGGGAAGAATTGATTCATACTTATGAAAGATTCGTCTCAACGAATTATCAATAGAGAGCATAACGCAATCCATTAAATCAACTAAAAAATATTAAGAATTGGAAATTAATTTATGATCCAAATATTTAACCACTTGATTCATGATCATGATGAAGTCTTGTATTTGAATCCTGATCGACGATCCCTCATTTGTTAAACACGGAGTATTTGAACATGGCTTTTGTTTGAAAGATGTATTAGTAAATGATATTTGATTCATAATTGGACCTCTCCCAATTATTTAAATTACTGGGATCAACTGATTTTAAAATTATATAAAATTAAATCCATTTGTATATGCTTTAAAAAAATTAATTTGGTCAATTTAATTATGACCATAGTAAGACAATGCTAAAATACAATGTTACAGATTAATTATGCTATATCTCACGGACATCGTAAGATAAACTTATTAGTTATTACCATCTTAAATCGGCCCATAATTTTTTTTTTTTATCAAAATGGATCTTATTATGTATGCAACAATCCTCCTCTTCTTCTTTTTTTTTTTTTTTTACAAAATTTCTAGTTTAAAATATAAAATGGATCTTATTATGTATGCCTGACCTGGTGCACGAGACTCAGACGAGCTTCGTGCTGGGAAGGCACATTACTGACAATATTTGTATTTTGCAGGAAGTTGTTCACTCGATGAGAGCGAAGTCGGGGCGGTCTGGGTGGATGGTGATCAAGGTGGACTTAGCCAAGGCGTACGACCGCATCCGGTGGAGCTTCGTCAGGGACACTCTTGTAGCTGCTGGGGTGCCGGAAAAATTCACTGAGCTGACCATGCAGTGCATCTCAACATCTCAGATGCGGATACAATGGAACGGTGGGCTCACGGAGGAGTTCTCCCCTTCCCGTGGACTGCGGCAGGGGTGCCCTTTATCTCCATACATCTTTACACTATGTATGGAGAGATTAAGTCACCTAATTAACGATGCGGTGGGGAACGGAAGCTGGGAGCCGATCAGATTGTCCAGTTCCGGGCCAGATTTATCTCACATGTTCTTTGCTGACGATCTCATACTCTTTAGTGTGGCTTCCTCTGAGCAGGTACAGGTGATCAACCAGTTGTTCGAGACATTTGGGAGGGCATCGGGCCAGAAGATCAGCAGACCGAAGTCGAGGGTCTTCATGTCCAAAAACATCTCGTCCAATCTTGCTGCCGTCCTTAGTGAAGAGCTGGGGATACCGCGGACTTCTAACCTGGGTCGCTATCTTGGAGTCCCGGTAATCCACGATCGGATTTCGAGAAATACTTTCATGGAACTGATCGATAGGATTGATGCTCGGTTGGCAGGATGGGGAGTTGCGACCTTGTCATTGGCAGGACGCATAACTTTGGCTAAATCAGTGCTGGCTTCACTGCCGGCTTACACCATGCAGACAACGTTTCTTCCAGCAAGCGTTCGTGAGTACATCGACAGGAAGATTCGAGGGTTTGTATGGGGGAGCTCTGCCACAGGGAGGAAGGTGCATCTGTTAGACTGGGATACGCTTTGCCGCCCGAAAGAAGAAGGAGGCCTTGGGTTGCGGGATGCGACGACGTTGAACGAAGCTTTCATGATGAAGATTGCCTGGCGTTTGATGAAGGAACCGGATAGTCTCTGGGCAAGGGTTATCCGCAGCAAGTACCTGAGCCTGGTGGGAGGCTCGTGGGTTCCAAGGACAACTGGACGGATTTCGAACCTTTGGAGGGGGGTGCTCCGAGTCATCCACAGGATACCCGAAGCGACGGTTTGGAATGTGGTAAATGGTCGGTCGGTCAGGTTCTGGCAAGACCGCTGGCTGTGTGACGGGCCAGTTTTGGCGGAGAGGGCGGTCGGACTCCCACAGGAGGCTTACTCCATTTTAGTTGAGGAGATGGTGCTGAATGGGGAATGGAATAGAACGTACATCCAGGCTTTCCTCCCGAATGATATAGTCGAGCAGATTATGCTACACGATGTCCCTCGTGACTCAGGGAGTGATGTGCCAACCTGGAGATACACGGCAAATGGAGAGTTCTCCCTAAAGTCGGCGTACGAGTTGTTAAATGAGGCGAGCCAGCCTTCTCAGTCCCACCCGCTTTGGAAGAAAATATGGAAAATCCCGGCTATGCAGAGAGTAAGGTCGTTTTTCTGGTTGGTTGGTCATGGCCGCCTCCTAACTAACATGGAAAGACAGAGACGCCACATGACGGAGGCTAGTGGTTGCCAGATTTGTGGAGGAGATGGGGAATCGGTGATGCACGTCCTGCAGGACTGTCCTTATGCGAGAGCTGTCTGGGCAACTTTCCTGGAGAATGAGGAGGATGAGAAGTTCTTCTCACCGGATATGACGAGCTGGCTGATGCATTACCTATCGGGAAAGGGTGTTAATCTGGAGCCTTCGTTGTTCGCGGTGGTCTGTTGGTTGCTTTGGAAGAACAGGAATACATTTGTTTTTGAGGAGAAGCTGGCTGCCGATGGCCAAATTCAGGTGGCGGCTCGGAGAATACAGCTGCAGATTGCTGAGGCCTTGAAGAGGGACCCGGCGATTCGTGGAGAGCAGTTGGCGGGTGAGTGGAGGTCGGTTGGCTGGGAGTTTCCCCCGGCCGGGTGGTGTTGTATCAATACGGATGGTTCGGTGGCGCTGACATCCCAGAGCGCGACGGCGGGCGGTGTGGTGCGAGATGATCATGGGCGATTCTTGGGTGGCTTTGCTATGAACATCGGTGGAGGTACGATTACCCGAGCGGAACTGATGGGCATTCGGCAGGGATTGCAGGTGGCTTGGGACCTGGGTGTTAGGAAAGCAATCCTTCGGTCGGATTCCAAGAGCGCGATCGAGTTGATCGCGTCAGCCACTACTTCTAGCCCACACTTCCAGCTGGTGTCACAGGTACGGCGGCTCATCAACCAGGAATGGGAAGTTCGGGTGGAACACACGTACAGGGAAGGCAATGTGGTGGCGGATTACTTGGCATCGACAGGCTACAATCTCCAGGTGGGGGTGCATTTGATCACGGTTCCCAGTCCGATGTTGCAGCACTGGATCTTGTTCGACCTTGTAGGGAATGCCACTCCCAGATACATGTTTCAGTGAGCTAGGGGCGCCTGAGCCCCGATTATTACCAAAAAAAAAATTAAAATGAATTAAGATAGAAAGTGTTATGCGCATGAAGTTTTAAGTTATGCATCGGAACTCATTCCACCGCAATGATGTACTCAACCTACTCGATGCTGTTGTTAATCATTTCACTCATGAGTCATGACGTAAACAATCCAGTAAAAGTAACAAAAAGCTTTCTAGACTAGAAAAAGTACATTGGTTGAGTACTTGTCGATCCATCCCTTCTCCCTTAGCTAGTTCCACCTATAAATATCGATTCTTTCCATTTCATAATAACATCCACAAGCAGTACTCAGTAGTATATTGTTCCTCCATACCAATCCCCCAGCAGAGAAGATAGAGAGAGACACCATGTGTGTCCTCTCTAAGTTGTGCAAAGACGTCATCGCCAAATTCATCCACCAGGACTTCCATGGAGTCGTTGCCAAGATGTCAGTCCTCGATGCTTTCTGCTTCTTGGTAAACACACACACAAAACCGACATCATCATCGTCATTTGTTTCAGGTTCAAACCTTCCGATGATCAACCATCATTGTATATATCTCTCACTGTTCTTTTCTGCATGCAGATTGTGCACTCCGTGGACAAGAAGAACCTATGGCACAAGCTGCCGGTGATTTTGGGTCTGGCTTACCTGGCCATTCGTCGCCACCTTCACCAAGTCCACAACTTACTCAATGTCGGTGGACAGCTCCCCGGCGACGGTTTCGACCCGGCTGATTATCCTCACAGGACGGAAGACGGGAGGTTTAATGATCCCTTCAATGGAGTTGCAGGCGGTCAGAACACTTTCTTTGGTAGAAACATGATGCCATCTGCCGAAGACAAGGTACTTAATTACATGGCTCTTTTTCTCTATCCATTTTTTAGCGAAATTTTTCTGACCAAAGATTTACTTATTATGTTCAAGGTGGTAACGCCACATCCTGCCTTAGTGGCTACGAAGCTGCTAGCAAGGAAGTCTGGTGAGAAGTACAAGGATACAGGGAAGCAGTTCAACATGGTTGCGGCTTCTTGGATTCAGTTCATGATCCACGACTGGGTTGACCATCTCGAGGATACCAAGCAGGTCTCTCATATCAGCTAGCTAGCTTGTTAATTATCCAATGCAATTTTTTCTTTAGTTAATTGTTAACTTAATGAGTTGTTTTCTGGGTTTGTTTCTTTATATATAGATAGAACTGACTGCACCAAAAGAGATCGCAGGACAGTGTCCTCTTAGTTCATTCAAGTTCTATGCCACCAAGGAACTTCCAACTGGCTCCAATGACATCCAGACTGGCACACTCAATAGGCGCACATCTTGGTGGTAATTGATTAAATACTGCTATCATGGGGAAGTTATTAATTAAATTTGATCATCACGACCATCAGGGATGCAAGTGTGATCTATGGGAGTGATGCGGAAAGAGGGCAGAAAGTGAGAGAGTTGACAGATGGGAAGCTGAAGATAGCTGAAGATGGTCTTCTACAACACGATGAACAAGGGTTGGCCATATCAGGAGACATTCGTGGTACTTGGATTGGCACCACAACCCTGCAGGCCCTTTTCATCAAAGAGCACAATGCTGTCTGTGACATGCTCAAGGTCTGTATGCTGATAACTAAATTAGATAGATACCATAATTTTTTATATACTACTAGTAAGGAAACCCGCGCTTCGCGGCGGGGAGATCGTATTGGGAAAATATGGAGTTTGTTTTGGAAACTGACATATTTGTGTGCCCATGAGTAGATTGAGTAGAAAACATGCGATCTATGAAAAAAAGGATGATTTGTACATCTGTAAACTTTGCACTGGAAATAAACATTAGGCACATAATGTTATTATGAATTGCAAAGTGGGTGTTGCCGTACTAAAGCAGCAATACATATTGGTCGCTGTCAGATTGATTAATTGGGGAAATACAGTTTAGATATTGTGCTATTTTGCATTGAATGTGATGTAAAAGAGTGCCAATTGGTAATGGTGGGGCAACTGAAAGTTATGTAAATGCTTGTTGAAAATGGTGGAGATGTTGACATTTTCCCCTTAAAATTGCAATATAAAAGGAGTGCTAATTAAGGAGCTAGAAGGGTTGAAAAGCAGGATCACATGTTATGCAAGTACCCACATGAGCTGAGGCAATATGGTGGATAGGTGACGGCAAAAGTCTTGCCTGTTAACATTTGTTCCCAGACTTATGCAGTAGAAGTTTTTTGACCCCTAATAAGTTTTGGTATCATTGTTTTTTTTCGTAGGTAGACCTAGAGAAGGTGGAACAGGGTGTCACCTCTTCTCTAGGTAAACCCGCTCGCGTTGCTTCGCATAACAATGATAGCAAAAAAAGGCATATCATGCAAACCTGACGGCGAAATGGATGGAAAATGATAAAGAAACATTTGAGGCTCTTAATCAAGCAAATCATAATACACTGGTTGGGCAGAATTGCGGTACCTGAAGCACACACCTTATTTGACCGACTACAATTTTGGCTAGTGGATAGTAACTCTAGATTTATGAGTTAGAATGAATTGAAAAACATACTACCTGATATTATCAATCGATATTCAAATAAGATCATGCATGTAGCTATCCTCAACAACTCCCTTGACAATCACCTATTACACGTTACAAACAACATTGGATACACTAATATATAGAAACCAAGAAATCTAAGAGTGTGAAATGGATGAACCCATCCGTAATAGATTGAACTCCAGCTGGTGCGAATTGAATTTCCTAGAAAGCAATTGCAAATCTTAGTTAGAAATCCATCACAAAATGTTGCAAGAACAATAAATTCCCACTAAACGTCAGTCAAATGGACTGATTAAACATCATATGTATGCCATACATAGACATAAATGGATAGGAGATGGCAAGTTCCATGGAGCCAACAGTTGGCCGCAAAAAAAACTGATTGAAACAACTATAGCAATTCAACTTACAGAATGAGTAGCAGTAACAATCATAAACCTGTCTTTATATGCAAGGCAATATCTTACTAATCAAAAAGAAATTCAGTTTCACAAAACTAACACGGTTTGGATCTAGGACCAAGTTATAAAAAACACACCTTACAATTTATAAACGGTGATTAAAATTCAACATATGCACCATCACCACCACGTTTCACTGCCACTTCCCATTAAAGCGACAACCAAATGAAAAGCGATATGTAAACAAACATTGGTAGGCAGAGATTAAAACTAATCGAAACCAAAATAAAAGCGCACATGCGCACATCATTCCTCAAGAGTTGAAAACGATAAACTGGACCAACTACTAAAGATCCAACAAAACCAAACATTTCCTCACTCAACCTTTCATATGCCAAATAAATACCTCTAGGATCTTAAAAATTCAATCATTGAGAGCTGCTCTATATTTAAAATCAAACCTCAAGTAACCTAGAGGGAAGGTTTAGGCAACAATTGAGAGAGTTAAGATCTGAATTGAGCAGCAAGAAAGCACCAAATCTGACGTGAGAAAAACATAATGTAAAACCTAACCGAAACGAAACGACCCGAGTTTGTCGATTCAGAGAGGATGAGCGGAGTCCTTTTTTTTTCTTTTTTCTTTTTCGATTCCAATAGAGAAAGAGAGGCTTCCTTGTCCTAATACTGTCATCGACCTCGTTGATTCCAATACCCCTTATAGTGCAATAAAAGCATCCACCAACTTCGTTCTGTATAGGCCCTCAACATTCCTTCCTGTGTCACTCTTGATTCCATAGATGACTTCGTTTCTGCACAGGTGTTGTCAACGATGCCTCATGTTAGGATAATTAAATAATTTTAAAATCAATCAATTAGACTATGTAAAGAAATTATAATAGAGGTCTGGGAATTGTAGAACATGTCAGTAACAAAGTTCAAAGTTACAGGAAACCAGAAATGTATCTCCCATATGCACCGCTCTACCATTTGAAATACATCTTAGTGCAAGTATTTAGTTTTGTTTATTTATATCCTACCGTATATCATTAACAAAAGTGCAGCATACAATTCATTCGAGTACACCATCTAAAGGATAAACTGGCAAATAAAAGGAACAAATCTAAGGTTGCAAATTTTGCCATTGACAGAAAAGATAAAAAGTTGAAGCTTGAAGACGCGGTTAACAAAAAAGTAGCAAAACAAAGAACTAATACTGACAGAAAGATAATGAAAAATAAGAATCTAAGCATGAAATACTCTAAGTAGGAACTCCATAGCAAAAACGGCTAAAGTTGTGCACTATTCAAGCTTTGAGGAGAATAGAATGAAAATGGAATAATTTCTTTGCTCCTTGTTGGCCATCACCAGTTATCGGATGTGGCTAATGAAAACTGAACTGTTCTTTTTTACTTAAGGCTATATTAAAAAGGCTACATAGCGGGACATTAAATGATGAATAAAGGCATGTAATAAAAGGAAGTATTAATTGTTGGGGAGCAACCAACAATGCTTCAAGTGTGAGGTTTTTCCTGTTTTATAGGTTGATAAAGTCTATCGAACGATGGGTAATACCTGCTAGACAAATACAGTTTCAGGTAAGAGAGACACGCACATCAAATGCTCTAGTCTTAAGCAACTCTATCCCAAAATCGATTCCATTTTAGTTTAGCTTAATGCTTTCAATTGCAGAATCCTAACAATTTAAGAGTGAATACTTGGCCACTTTTCATCTCCTCCATGTTCTGCTTCACCCAAGTCTCGATCTTCCTTTTCTTCTTCTTCTTCACCTTGCTTATTCTTCGTCGTTTAGCACAAAAGAGAGAAGGAGAGAGAAAGCAGATCTAGAAAGATGGAGAGAGGAATTGGGGATTAGACATGAGGAAGAAAGAATGGATAAGTAATAAAAAGTCTCCCTTTGGTCAGAAAAAGCAAAACAAGTAACAGTTTCTGAAACTTTCTTTTTTCCTCTACTCTGAGATTCCATAATAGGCATCAAACTTCTATTTCCACACAATTACAGAATGCTAAGAAATGTATATTGTTTGCAGGCTAGAAATCTCACCAATTCATACGTTGCAACCAAGATAAGATGACACAGTTCAGCCCATAACTCCTCAACTGCATACCTGCAAACCACATGAAAAAAAACACAATCATATAGCTTGAATCAAAATAGCATGCAGCCAAATAAGGATCGAGGAGAGGACACCCCACACCCTGCAACAAAGTGAAGCAAGAAAGCCATCTAGTTAAGATCCACGATTCACATCTCCTCTCATGGTAGCCCTTTGCACAAAGCACATCAACCTAAGTATCCATCGCAGAGGTGAGTACTTTCTAAACCGCATTATAGCTAATTCCAAAAAATAAAAGCCTAAATTTCATGAAAAAACTCAATGATCCAAAGCAGCAAAACAAACTTCATAAAATTATCTATAAACAATTGTTCATCCTGAAACCAAATCAACTCTGCAAACTACTCTAATGATTGTAAGCTTTGATAATGAAAGCTTCTAGCTCATGTCTTAGCAGTACAGCAGTGTAGAGTAATAACATAACATAGCAAAATTTCATTCCAATGAAAACCGAGTGCTGAAAGAGAGTCACTGGCATGTTGATCCCATATCATAATATCTATAAGACTTCATTTGGAAAGGGAAAGAAAAAATGACAAGGCATCATGCAGACACACAGAATGCAGATTTTCAACATTAACAAACCTAAGTATTCGAGAACAAAAACAGATGGTACTTCTAAATTTAGCAATACAGGGGCTAGTATAATCATTGCGACTACAGGTCACTAACGAATAAACTAAAAGGTTACCCCAGGTCATACAAAAAGGAGGCATACCACTCCGACACTAATATCTCAGTTCAGTATTCTTATATCACCAGCTGAAACCAAAACAGAGTAAACCAAGATTGTGAAGCAAGTCAGCTGCTGACTTAACCTCTCCCACTGATTTTAAGAGAGTTAAGGATCCTGGTGTACTCTTCTAATCCTCCTTCCCATCAAACCCCAAACTCAGCTCTCACATGTGGCAGTAGGATTCAAGTAAGGATTAAACCAACCACACAGAGAGATCCTATGCAGACAGACGGAACAAGCTAATATGAAGTAAAAATAAAATAAATTCACAAACCCGACTGAACTTAACATTCAGCGTAACCTAACATTGATGTGTGTACTGTGAGATGGAAACAAAGATTACAGATACCATACTGAAAAGAATATACATTGTCATGGTGTGCCTTTAATGAAAAAAAAATTGGAGAAAGAAACCAAGTCCTAATTGTAGAGCTCTCTGTACCATAGTGCAGCAACCATAAGTTGCCTGCAATATACACAGGTTATCGGCATTTAGATTATCAACCTGTTTGAGCTCGTA